TGGAGAGGATATTGTTGTAGTAGTAAATCCTGTTCGAGTTTGAAGAAGAGAAGCCATAGTGAAGAAAAAAATAAGCTTAAACTCTAGACTTTAACTGAGAATGCTTTTGAATTCAAGAGGCTATACTTCGGCTAGAAAAAACACAGGCTGATGAGCATGCTTATTGATGTTTCAGTTAATACGGTGTCTGATACCTTTAGAAAGACATACCAGAAGCAACAGATGTGAAAGACTTTTACTGAATATTATTACTGAAAATTTGAACCAGAGATTTCTACTGAAATTCAAAACGAGATGCCATGGTTGAACTAGAATAACTGTTAAAACTTGTTCGGTTTAAAATAAACCGGATGGTTTTATGGTTTTTATGTGGTTTTAAAATTTTCGGTTTTTGACAAGTGAATATGTGATTGACCTGATTACATGGTCGATTCTCGATTTTACTGGTCGAACCGACCGGTTCAGGCACGTTCTGATAACATTTGAGGCAACTAAGCAATTTCAAAAATACAAATTGTTAATTAATTTTACATGTCAAATAAAAACATTATTCAACTTAATATACAACTTCAACTGTGCAAAGACAATTGAATATCCATGCTCAAATAAATCAACTATGAAAATTAAATTACATTTAGGGTCGGTGAAAAAAAAATAAAAATTTGATGTCTGGAAAAAATATTTTAAAATTAAATATTTTTTTAAAATAGGAAAAAGTATTCAATGACACCAGTTCCTAGGTGAACCTGTTGAATTACTGAGACTTTAGGAAGATGATTTTATGGAATAAATGATTATATTTATCTTTTCTTTAATTTATTTATTGAGTCAATAAGAGTTGGTTCCTCAAATCTAGGAATATTAGTAGCAAATTAAATTGTTAGTTGTTAAGATTTTTATGCAGAAATATCTGCAACACATGATCTTTTTTCTTGTATTTAATCAGCTAGTATCAATGAAATAAATTACAGCAAATTTCATTTTTTTTGTTTATTACTTCAAGTTCTTTCTGCTATTTTTCCTACAATTGGTATCAGAGCTTTCTTCTTAAGGGGCTATGAATTTCATTTTTTATTGAATGTGTGAGCTAAACATAAGAGAGTTAAAACACCTGTGAGTTTTGAGAACCTCAAAATTTTTCAGAATGGCTTCAAGTAATTTTACTGTTCATTCTCCTCCTCTCTTCACAGGAGAGAATTATCAGTTATGGGCTATTAAGATGAAAACCTACTTAAAGGCCATGAATTTGTGGGAGGTCATTGAGAATGATGTTGATCCCGCTTCTCTTCCGCAAAATCCAACATTGGCACAGATCAGGAGGTACGAAGAAGATCTATCGAGGAAACCTAGAGCACTTACATGCATACACTCAACAGTGTCAGTTGTAATTTTCACAAGAATAATGACTTGTGATTCACCAAAACAAGCATGGGATAAATTGAAGGAAGAGTTTGAAGGAAGTGACATGGTAAAATCTGTCAAGATGTTAACTCTCAAAAGAGAGTTTGAAACGCTGAGAATGAAGAACGGAGAGACAGCAAAGGAATACTCTTCAAAACTCATGCAACTTGTGAATCAAATTCGGCTCTATGGAGAAACATTTGAAGACTCAAAGGTGGTGAAAAAAAATGTTGATAAGCTTGCCAGACAAATTTGAATCCAAGATTTCAGCAATTGAAGAATCTTGTGATCTAAAAAATTTGTCAATTGCTGAACTTATTAGCAAGATGCAGGCACAAGAGCAAAGGACCTCCATGAGGTCAGAAGAAAACATTGAAGGAGCACTTATCATGAAGCACAAAGGCAAGAAAAATGTAGGAAAAGATTGGAAGAAATTTGTCGGTGACAAACAGAGAAAAGATAAAGCTCCTGAAAACTTAAAAGAAGTTCACAAAAAGGGTAAGTTTCCACCCTGTAGAACTTGTGGAAGAACGAACCATTTGGAGAGAGATTGTTAGCATAAAGGTAAACCTCAGTACCAGTGTAGAAATTGCAAGAGATATGGGCATATCGAAAAGTTT